GTTTATCAGGAAATATAGTCGCACTCTAAGACCCCCACTAACATACATAAAAACTATTCAAGAGAACAAATATCTGCACTAAAAGATATGCAGAAAAACGATACCTTGATTGTTAAACCAGCAGACAAGGGTGGGGCCATTGTTATCTGGCCATGAGATGACTACATACGCGATACGCGAGGCCTCTAAACAACTTGTAAATACCACCCATTACAACCATATTTCAACGAATCCCATCCCTGAACTAATAACTAGAGTACAACAATTTGTTCATAATAATCATAGCTTCGGTCAATTTGATTACACCACTTTTAAATTCCAAATGCCCCCCACACCAACTAAAACTCCCACCCTATATCTACTACCTACAATTCATAAAGCTGGCAACCCGGGTAGACCTATCATCTCTGGATGTTATGGCCCCACTGTCAGATTATCGAAATATGCGGACCACTTCCTCAAACCCTTAGTTAGTAATATCCCTTCATTTGTTATAGATCCAACAGTCTTTCTAAGACGTATATTTAAACTTAGCTAACTATAATCACTAACATTATTCTTCTTACAATAGATGTAAAATCTCTGTACACTAACATCCCGCATGATGAAGGTATCGCCTTATCAATTGAATACCTTCAAGGATTTAATAGGGAGGCTATAACACTGATTTTCTACAGGAAATCTTTACACTGATACTTTATAACAATTATTTTGAATTCGATAATAAATACTATCTTCAGGCCCAGGTACTGCCATGAGTTCTCCAATGGCGCCCTCGTATGCCAATCTTTTCATGGGTCAATTAGAACACAACATGCTAAAGGATGCTCCTGGTGGATTGATTCCACTTGAGTGGATAAGATTCATCGATGACATCTTTGCAATATGGAGACATGGAATTGATAAACTAAAGGAGTTCCTGTAATATATTAAAAACTTCCACCCAACTATTACGGTTAGTAATTAACCGTACGTATCGAAGAGCTTGGCTATATATGATGCTAGTTTTGCAGTTGTTAGGGTGAAAGGATTCCTTATGTAAAAGTAGAGCTTTATCTCACGTTGGTTTGCTAAAAAGGTCAGATTCCAGTTGGTTAAGGTTGTTAATGTAAATACTCGTATCAAGAAAATGAACTCTTTCATAGGAGTACTCAATTTTGAACTTACCAGATGCCTGTCAATATTGTGTAACTTCTTTAATTTTCATCTTCTTTGTACGAAATTTCCCATGAACATAGAACATATCATTCTTACAAATCGTATGTTTTTTGTTTTTCGAATTGCTCCATTTTGACGGGAAAATAATGTCACAAACTTGGCGCTAAAAATTAGGAGTTAGCTATTTGTACTTTTATGCACTTATAAAGTAGACGACATTGAGAGAATCTTAAAACTGAAGTCTGTTTCTAAATACGACCATTTTATGCGAAAATATAGCGATACAAAAAATCCGCCTAAAAATAGAACAAAATGGCGGTTTTATAGATATTTGAGTCATTGTGTCTCCGCAAGGAATGGTCGTATTTCGAAATTGACTTTATAGTTGCTGCCGCAGCGAGCGAGCCTGAAGCGAGCGAGCAAGGCAGCAGATCCTAATTTTGTTTTGTGGGTCGAAATCAAAATTTTCTATTTGGCGCATTGCATGACGGTACCAGTGAATTTTGACCGTGGTGCAGCGCGGTCAGGCATAAGGCAAACAGGCAATGTGATCATCTTTCATCTTTGGTCTTCTTTTATGGAAAGCCATAGCTGGCTTAAAGTGATCAAACAGCATTTTGTTGGGTGCTTTTAGCATTATACGGCGGTGCTTTCGGCATTATACCGGTGCTTTCGCCATTATACGCGGTGGTTCCAGCATTATACGCGGTGCTTTCGCCATTATACGCGGTGCTTTCACCATTTATATACGCGGTGCTTTTGTAATTATACGTAGTGGTTCCAGCATTATACGTGGTGCTTTTAACATTATACGCGATCACCGATGCTTTCATTCAACATTATTTCCATATTCTTTCCATGACATGTATATGATTTAACGATTGCTTAAATTTGGTGTGTGGTTGACAAATGCTTTTTGCCTCTGGTCTGCAATGCAAATGACATGCTTTAAAAAGGTTTATTTATACACTTTGTCATAGTAATAAATCTGTGTATATGTAAATGAATATAACGCAGGGAGTGCGCCAAGCAGTATAAACGCGGCTGAAATACGATATTAAAATCTTGAATGTGCCGTATGATTTAATTATGTTTTAGGATTTACAAATGCTTTGTCATTTGTATTTATACTTGTACTGCATCACAAGGCAGTGCGTAAGTGAACAAATTCCACATGTGAGATTGTCTTGTATATATTTTTGCTTTCTTTGATAAACATTATTAATAAACACGTAAATTTTAATTAGTGAGACGCACAGTCGCACATGTTAAATGTCACCTTCATGTCACTGTCATTGCCCTTTAACCCCTGGTCTAATTGGCCGTTTTTGAAAATGTTGATGTATAAATTATGGATGATTCCAATTCATTACAAATATTTCTTATTCTTGTTCTTTAAAATACTAAAGATTTGGGAACAATGCTACACCAAGGCAGCTTTCACTACCCTGTGGGTAAACTAGTTTTAAGATACCCTTAGTCTGCTCTTCAAAATGGATACATGAAATCACCAATAGCTTTTTTTTTTCTGGCGCCAAATTTGTGACGTAATTTATCCGCCAAAATGTAGAAATTCCAAGAACAAAAAACATACGATTTGTAAGAATGACATGTTCTATGTTCATGCGAAATTTAGTCGAAACATGATGAAATTTTGCATGTATTTTTAACGACCTCGAGACCTACGTGTTAATTTAATTACTAGGGGCTATACTAACAATATAATTGATAATGCATTTAATAAAGCTCTGCAATATACTCAGTGCAATCTACTAATTGGAATCTAATAATTACTACACCACATTTGGCAGCGGGTTCGATATAGAGAAGGAAGCACGTTCGTGGAATTAAGCACGTTCATTCGTGGAATTAAGCACGTTCATTCGTGGAAGCACGTTCATTTCGTGGTGTGAACTGTAATTTTGCTGTAATTTTGAGTATTTTATTTCATATTGATCAAAATTCAATCAGTCTTACTGCCACATTTAATGGCGCAGACAATAATAATAAGGCTCGAATCGGGATTTGGAGACAACCAGTCCTCTTTGAGGACAATCCTTCTCCTTCACGAATGGTATATCGACTTGTTGTATATGAGGCACCGCCATATTAGTTTGTCCAAGTTTTCGTCTGACTATTTGGGAAGAAGAATAAAACGATACCCAAATTCTACGTCCAGCTTTCAGTTATCTGAACTTGTACTTAGTGGGGTTATTTCCCCGAATCCAGGACCTGAAAAATGTGCCAACTGTTCACGAACCATCGCGTGCAATCATCGGACAATACTTTGTGTCTCGTGTGATGTCTTCGTGTGATGTCTTACATCACATAAAATTTCTCTTTCTTTGTATTGAATTAAATAGTAGTCTTAGACAGTATTGCACGAGGTTTTTGTGTTTACAATAATGGTGTTTTACTTCTACTACAGCCGCAATTTGTGATCACGCAACCACAGAATAAGGCACACAGAAGGGCCACTTACGTCGGAAGCTTTGAAGTTTCTGTCACCATGGCCGCCATCTTCCTAGCCAGTCGATTACATTTTCTGGCCAATGAACGTGCTGTATTGGCTGGCCGCCATCTTCCTAGCCAGTCAATTGCATGTTTTTGCATAGAAAAATGGGGACACGTTGCACCGCTGAGTGGCCCTTCTGGTACTGATCTTTATTCTGTGACGCAACGTTAGATAAACCTAAACGATTTCGACAGCCACAGTAGATTTTATGTTGACAGATGAGAATGACGGTAAGCAATAATGTAGAAATGTTCCTTTTCTACTTCTGAGTGTGGAAAATTCCGAGACACAGTAGACTGTTCTTCGAAGTTGCTGGCGTGTAAGATGACATTAGTTATCACTTGCAAATTTGTCACCCTTTAAAGCTTGTCGGAAAGAAGAATATAAATTAATTCTAATTTTCAGAACCTTTCTAATTGTTACTGGAAAAAGGAATAACATTGATTAAATAACTGAGACGTTCAAATGGGTTACAGCTGTTTGCGCTGAATTGTTTTGTATTATATCAAAATATTCGCATATTTTTATACAATAAGAAATAATATAAATTCTTGAAGCATAGCCTTGAGCAAAGTGACCCAGGGTCGGCCTGAAAAAGTTGATTTTTTATACAGAACCGTGACTTACTTGAATTCTAGTTTCATTGATAATTGTTTCTAAACCTAGAGACAATTCATTTGCTAGAAAACTATACTGAGCGAAACTAACGAAATATTGACATTTGACATCACAGCGAGTATACATTTCTGATTTCTTTCGGCCAGGGCCTGGGCTTTTCCCCGAGATTTAATTCGTACATTCTAACGAAACTTTTATAAAACAGTTTAAAAACGATGAAAATTCTGTCTGTAGTATGACTAATTCTGAGTTTTCCAATTTCATTGAACATTGTTATTTGTTAAACAGGTAAAGGTATTTGTTAAAGAGGTAAACAAAGCGAACAGAGCGAAGATTGTATAGTATGTCACAATCAGGACTCGTGGCATTGAGGCGCGCAGAAGACACTGGACACACTGGCATTGAATGACTCTATCCGTGAAGCTAAACTGTACTCAAACAATTTGATTCAAGCGCCAAACCAAAGAATAATGATGAAAGACAGATATTTACATAATCAAGCTTCATTCAGTACACTGCGCAGAATTCGAACACACTGGACACACTGGCATTGAATGACTATCCTTGAAGCCAAACTGTACAGTCAAACAATTTCATTCGAGTGCGAAACCAAAGAATAATGATGAAAGAAATATATTTACACAATGAAGCTTCATTCAGTGTAGTGTAAGGTGATTTTATCTGTTAATATCAATAATTATGTTTACCGATAAAGTATGCTCGATTTCGACACATTTTCAAATTTTACAAAGTTTGAAAATGTGTCGAAATCGAGCATACTTTATCGGTAAACATAATTATTGATATTAACAGATAAAATCACCTTAC